ACACATACACACATACATACACATATTCATTCTTCACTCTCCGTCATCAGACTCTGCCTTTACTGTCGTTGTTGATTCATCGATTACCGGATCTGCGTCCTCAATTGATCCCCTAAGAAGTTGAAGTCAGAACAAAGCCCTTGATTGCGGCAATAGAGACGATGTCCAACTCGATTATGTGAAAAATGAATTAAAAGCATACACAAAGCCCTCGATTATGTGAAAAACGAATTAAAAGCATTCACAATGCCCTCGATTGCGATGGTGTCGAACTCAATCTATAATACACTACGATTTCACATGTATACATAATCCCATACATATTACAGTTTCCCCATTTTTGTATTCCACCTATAAATTGTATCTGTCATCGTGTGATTATTACTGGATGTCTATTTTTGAGCGGAAAATTTACCTGTTACAAATCGATAACTCGTCGTTCTAGTTTGTACATACTTTTCACTATTTTGTTCTGAGTTCAGATTGTGCACATAACTTGCTTGATGAATTGTCACTCAATCAAAATCTTGGCTAGTTCATTCGTATCTAGAACAAAGCATTCCAGTAGAACTCACACACACACATCTGAGAACTGTATCCTGTGTATTTTTTCAGAGAATTAGCTACAAAGGGTTGTAGATTTGGAATTTTACCCGACTTATGGGATGTTGTTGAAGTATGAGTTCCTAAATTTGCATCTTCCTACCAAGTTTTTCTACCCCACATGTCCATATGTTAGAGAAATAAAGAAGAAGGTAATAAAATTATCAATTTATCATACACAATCATGTAATATTGTAACACGTTGTTTTTCCTTTTCCTTGTAGTTAAATGCATCTTTTTTCTTCCCACAGGTCAAGATCAAAAGAAAGCAATGTTTGATTAAAAAGGAGATTGAACCCATCATCACCCAAGATGACATGAAGAATGCACCGAAAACATATCAATGTATTTATATGCTTCACAATTTGAGTAAATTGATGCACTTTTCTTTTTTTAACTTTAATTTATGGTGTTATTTGTCTCTTGCATCCCAGATTGTGGTCACAACAAGGCTGCATACATCCAATTTCAAACAAGGTCAACTGATGAACCCATGACAATAAACTTCATATGTGAGAAATGTGGTAAAATGCTGGCGTGAGGACTAACATTCAGACCAAGGGAAACCAACATTTTTTTGCCTCAAATATTGAACCAAAGTGTTTCTATTATACTTTTGTTACTAATGAAATAAAGGTATGACTTTTTTTCATCTGTTTTACATTTTTGCTTATAATTAACTACCTATAGCTAACTCATGTATCTTTGAATAACAAACCAAAGGAAACCTCCATTCAGCTAGGAAGAAACCTTATTTATAGTTAAGTTAAAAAGATCATCTTCACGAGAGCCCTAGTAGTTTATTAGATTATCAGAAGAGATGGTAAAATGTATGGTTGACGCATACCTATCAGAAGAGATGGTAAAATGTATGGTTGATGCCAACTTGATTCGAAAACAATGCTCAAGAGGTGTTATTTCTTTTTTTTCTTCTTCTTCCACAACTTCAATGACAATATCAAACTCGTCTTAATTTGTTTTTTTAATTGTTCTTAATAACTTTTCTATTCAGGTTCTATCAAGTTGTAGTTGTGAGAGCTTACTACAATTTGTAACGCCCGGTTTCCCATGTACATTAATTAATATTATAATTTGAATTGTGTTGAGGTGACTCGACGAGTTGGTGCTTAGAATCGTCGTGTCAGGTCGCGAATGGGTGACGTGGAAAATGATTAGACTCGACGAGTCATGGGAATGCACTCGCCGAGTCAGAGTTGGCGAAAGAAACCCTAATTTCTAGGGTTTGGGACCTATTTAAGGACCCTTATAAGCACCATTTGCGGCTACCAGACCCTTGAGAGAAACCCTAAGAGTGCTTGAGCGTTTGTGAGAGGAAAGAAGCCATTATTTGATCTTTGTGGGTTGGTTTTGCAAGAAGAAGGTGGTTCCAGCTTAGAGGAGGCCAAGAAGGTTGCATATCTATGGATCTCAAGCAAAGAGCATCATCCTTGAGGTAGCATATCGATCCTTTTTCTATTTTGTTGAAGAATCCATAGATCTAGGGTTTTGTATACCCTTTATTGGAATGATTGTTGGATTTATGGTCCTTTATCATGTTTAGACTTCGAATATGGACCCATAATGGTCCAGAGAGCTTTATCCATCTTGCTTTATGATGAGTTATGGAAAAAATGGACTTACGATGTTGTATTTGGGGCAAATGCTTCAAGTAGAGTTATTTGGACGATGCATGAGTATCAAGTTTGAACCTTTATGTGTTTATTGAGCTTGGGAAGTTCAAATCTATGGATTAGAGGAACATATCTGACCTCAGAAGGCCATTTGAGTTCGAGCATGGAATAAACTCGTCGAGTCGATGAGTAGACTCGACGAGTCGGACCGGGTTGTCCCGTGACTCACACAGTTGGTGACTCGCTGAGTTGGGGGAGTGACTCAGTGAGTCAGAGAGGGGATTTAGGAGACTTCCGTTCACATCTGAACTCGCAGAATCAGTGCCTGACTCAACGAGTTAGGTCAAAGGAGTGACCATTGACCAACGTTGACCAGAGTTGACTTGTGTTGACTTAAGGGCATTAGTCAAATTAAGTCAGGAAGGTATTAATTAGAGATGTATTTATGCTATAGGAGGAAGCTAGGTCGGAGAATTGAGCGCGAGTGATTATCCAACATCTTCGAGGTGAGTCATCTCACTATGTCGTACCCGATGGGGTGAATATGTGTGACTAGAAGGTCTTATGTGTATGATAAAAATGTGATGCATGTTGTATATGTAATATGATATGATATGAATATGATGATATGGACTGGAAGGTCAACAAAGTATGGACCGGACGGTCAACAGAGTTATGGGATGGAAATCCCCTGAGACACTTGGATCGGAAGATCCCATAGAGCTATGGCTTGGAAAGGCATATGTGTTGTGCGTGGTATTTTGGGGAACTCAGTAAGCATTATTGCTTACCGTTTTTGGGTTATGTGTTTCAGGTACCAGTGATGATCGCGGGAAGGCGTCGGCATGATCAGTACACACTTATGGTGGAGATGTTTTGAGATTTTGGGGTTTTTGATTTGTACTTATGTTATGTAAAAACAATTGATACACGTTTTTGAGAATTGTTATTTGGGGAATTTTTATTAAATTAAAATGAAAATTTGTTTTGAAATTTCATGGTATTACACAATTGCAAATTTCTTGGATTTCAGGTAATTCTCACATAATATCAAAAAGTTTATATAGAAAATTGATGATGAATACAAAGATTTACATGTGAATCACTTGTGATTCACATGTGAATCATTTGTGATTTACATGTGAATCACATGTAATTCATATTAATTATTTATTTTTTCTAACCACATAATTTATTTTAATTGCTTCTATATTGAGCTTCATGAATCACTTGTAATTTACATGTGAATCAGTTGTGACATATGTGAATCATTTGTGATTTGCATGTGAATCACATATAAATCATCTTAACTATTTCTTTTTTCTAACCATATAGTTTATTTTAATTTGTTTCATTTTACCAATATATCACAAGTGAATCACATATGAATTACATGTGATTAACATGTAATTCACAAGTAAATCACACGTGATTCATATATGAATTACATGTGATTCATATGTAATTCTCATGTACATCACAAGTGAATCACATATGAGTTACATGTGATACATATGTAATTTACATATAAATCACATGTAATTCCCATATGAATTACATGTAATTCACAAGCGAATAACATGTGATTCACAAGCGAATAACATGTGATTCACCTTTAATTCGCATGTAAACCACATATAACTCACAAGTAAATTTCATATGAATTACGTTTATATACAAACATGTATTTTTGTGAGTTTTCTTACATTAGTCATTTTTTTTCTTGTAGATTTAGAAGAATTTGTGGAAAAGATTGAAGAGATGAAAAATGATAAATTAAATAAAATATGGAACACCAAGACATGAAAACGCTTTGAAATTTTGTAGTATTATTTGTTTTTTTATATTATATTTTGTATCGAATAATATACTTGTAATATTATGTTTATAGATTATTAAATAAAAATGGATTTTTTTATATGATTACTTACGAATATCATAGTATAAGAAAGATGCATATATGTACTTGAAAAATATACATATATGCACCTGAAACGTTGATTTTTTTTTTTATTAAAAAAATTAGAGTTTTTTTTTTTTTTTAATATTTTAGTTTTTTTTTTTTTTTAAATATATTGATTTTTAAAAATTTAATTTTTTTCAAAAAAATATAGTTTTATAAAAAAAAATTGCAACTTTTTTGAAAAAATGCAGTTTTGTTTTAAATACAATTTTTTTTGAAAAAATTACAGTTTTTTATTAAAAAAAATGCACTTTTTTTAAAATGCAGTTTTAAAAATAATTAATTAAGGCCATCAAAATAATCGTGGGTTATTATAAATTGATATGTACATGTATATGTACATATACGTTTTGCACAATTGCACATTTAGATTTTAATTCTTTGTGAACAAAATTTTCCGAGGCTAATTAAGTTTTTATGGTACTTTGCGTGTACCTTTGTTTTAAGAGACGTAACAGGTATGTATTAATCTACAGCAGGTTAAATTGTTAGGAGGTGAGGTGGGGTAATTATTTAACTTGACTCAATTCAAACAAAACATAAGTAGACAACGTTGTTGGGGGATGATTAACTACTTGTTTATAAAAAGAAGGAAATTTAGAAGGCGTTGCACGCAAGAGTAAAAAAAAGACTACTCTAAATAGCAATTAAATTAAAGTTGTTTTTGTTTGTTTGTTTGTTGAGTGTATGAATTTACGATCCCACTTGTACTGTACGTACCGGGTTCAGTGGTTCTCAACAAAGTATATCAGTGCTTCGCATATAAATACTTCCATAACATAAGACATCTTTCCTCGGGTTCTCATTAATTAATTATTAGAGTGGACGTGATCCGGGCAGGAGTCGTCAAACAACATTCGATTCGACTGACTCTAACCTTAATTAGACCTTGTACGTACGTAATGGAGCTTTTGAATGTTCACCACCCTCTTGTTTTTATTTTTGGCCTTTTAGGTAACGTCCGATTATCATATCGATCTTTTGTACAAATTCACTTACTTTACTTTTATCTACTTTCTCCAAGTTTATCTTATTATTAATTATACTATTATTGCGTGTAACATGTTACAGGTAACATTATTTCCACCGGGGTCTACTTTGCTCCGATGTAAGTCCACAATATTAATGGATTGTACCAAATTAATTGTAAGTATATGCATGCATGTGTGTTTACTAATTATGGATTTATTTTGATCAGGCCAACAATTATTGAAATATGCAAGAGAAAATCGACAATGGGGTTCCAGTCACTGCCATACGTTGTCTCCCTCTTTAGCGCATTGCTATGGTTGTACTACGCCTTCATCAAAGGAGGCGGCACGTTCCTTCTAATCTCCATTAACACTCTCGGTACCTTTATTGAATCCGTTTACATCATCATTTTCCTCGTATATGCTACACCAGACACCAAGGTACTTCAACTTGACGTTTCTATATGTCGACATATATACATAGAAACCTTACGCGTGTCTAATTACACCATGGTTGTTGCTCTATGTAGAAGCAAACGTTTAAGGGTCTGGCTGCTACCATGGTGTTATGCCTTGTGATTTCTTTGGTCACACTCTTGTCGTTCCATGGATCAACAAGGGTCCTAGTTGTTGGATGGATTTGTGTTGGGATATCCATATGTGTTTTTGCAGCACCTCTCACTATCGTGGTGAGTCACTCATATAACTCATAACTCATAATTAAGTAGCTTGTAAAATTGAGATGCCTCCCGAAAGAGGAAAAAAAACTAACCCCTCATATAATTTTGGTGTGAATTTGAACAGTTTCAAGTTGTGAGAACAAAAAGTGTTGAATTCATGCCATTGTCCCTATCGTGTTTCCTGACACTAAGTGCGATGATGTGGTTCGCTTATGGGGTGTCCCTCAAGGATATATGCGTTACGGTAAGTAAGAACTCTTTGCGTATTTAATTAAAATGCCTGCAAACCTCTTTTAATTCCACTTATAAATAAAACGTGCTCCAAAATTCTAAACCTTAATTTACTTCTTGTAAAATATTACTAGAAGTTATGTATAGTTAATTTATTAAAACAGTAAGGTCTGGAAGTATTTAGTTTTCCTATACAATTAATGAAGCTACTTTTTGTATTAGTAGTGGATGTGATTTAAACATAAGAATTATAATGAGGACATGTATATCTTTGGGATGCATGGTTAAAAGGAAAATAATGAATTATGTTTGGTTATATAATTTGTAGGTGCCAAACATATTGGGATTCCTATTGGGAGTAGTTCAAATGGGACTGTATGCATATTACCGAAACGCAAGCAAGGAGACAAGCATCGCACCGGAGAAGAAGCCCAAAGAACACATCATAAACATAAACTTATCCATGTTATCAAACTCAGAGGTGCATCCAGTGGATTCAGGGCGAAGTAGTGAAGCAGACGAAAAGGATCAGAAAAAAAGACCCGATGATGATCAGAAGGAAGAGGAAGCATGTGGAATTGAAGTGGTGAAGTTGGATACGGGTGTAATTGTGGTATGTGCCAGCCTAATTAATTAATTAACCAATCCGATTTAGAATTAGTAGTTGTGGATCGAGATGTCCGGTTTGTTTATTTATTGTTGCTGAGACTAGTGGTGTCGTGTAGGGTAGGATTGTTTTAAGTTTAGGTATATTTTGATCAGACAACAACACACACTATCTCTCTCTATCTATCTCTCTTTCTCTCTCCGTAACAGAAATCCATCCGAAAAAAGCTAAAACAAACTCCATTTGCATTTGCTTTTTCTGATGCAAATTCGACATATACCGATACCTACATAACAACACTGCATGCCAATTATAGCAACTCTACTCCTTAGATATACACATATAAAATAAGATATTTTCAATTCATTCAACACCAAAGTTCCAAACTTGCCATCGAACGTATTATTTGTGTATTTTACACCGAATCATCCAAAAATAACAAAACTATCCCTTACTTCAATATGTTTTGTGGGAGAGAGTGAGTGACAAGGATGGCGACACATGGGGCTAGGAGCTGGGGGCCGAATGGGGATGATATTGGCTAAGGGTAGGTGGGTGAAGGGTTAACTTGTATTTGTTTATCTCTTTAACTTATATTAATGATGAGTTCCGCTTTCTAAGTGATTGTATCCTTTAGTTTATTTGTTTGAATGGAAAAAAGTGTTATTTGGTATAATCATGCTTTCTCGTTAAACAAACAAGGTAAACATATATACACATGTTGGGTTAATTAGCCTATTTAATTAGTTAATATGGTGTCCGAACGAGATGTTTCTAACAAGGAAGTTATGACTTGAATCTCATATATATATATATATATATATATATATATATATATATATATATATATATATATATATATATATATATATATATATATATATATATATTAATTCGCTTTTCAAAAAAAAAAAAAAAACATTCCTGTATACATCATACAAGGCTAACACAAAGAGAGTGAACCATGACCCAAGAGACCCAAAGACACTAAATACAACATATAAATACATACAAACAATATAAAATCAAATATATACTAACATCCTCCTCGACCATAACGGGAGGAGTAGCCGATATGTTATGCGTATTGAGACGACGAGGGAACATGTAGAACCTGAATATGACCAAGAGCTACTTTGTCCAGGACAAAATGAAAGTCGATCTCAATATGTTTGATGTGTTGGTGTTGTTCTGGATTCATAGATAGGTACATAACACTATTATTGTCACAATAGATAGTTGTCGCTTTCGATGGAGTAAAGTGCAGCTCACGAAGAAGATTATGTAAACAAGATGTCTCACCAACAACATTGACTATGCTTCAGCACTATGCATCTTTACTAAAACAAGAAATGGTGTCTTGTTGTTTGGACAACCAATGGATGATGTTGTTGCCAAGAGATATGCACCAGCTAGATGTGGAACTTTGTGTGGAGAGAAATCCCCCAACCTACATCAGAGTATGCAATGAGATCCTTGGAAGGATATACATGCAACTATATGCCATAATCAACTGTGCCACACAAATCACATAAGATGTGCTTATGTGTATATCGACATATTTGTTGAACAACAAATGTAGTATCATGACCAGTAAATGTTAGGTGTTGAAGGATATATGTTAGAGTACCATATAAAGTAGGATCGATGACTAGAAGACCTGCCAAATGAAGAATGACTTAGTATTAGAAAGTGTTAGAAACAAATTACAAGCTGTCATGTTGGCTCGATCTAGAGTATCAAGGGTCCCGAAATCAGTCAAAAGAGATTTGTGATGAGAGAGGAGATGAATTATTATAAGAGAGCTATAAAAAAAAGTGATAAGGATAATATCATCAACATTGAACATAACATAAGCCATAGACTACCCATCACATAAGATGAATAGTGAAGATTCGTAAAAACCGTGTGACAACTGGCAAACTTGGAGATAAGCCAAGTCAAAAGATTTATTATGTATAAGTGAAAGCCACATTGTAACTTTGTACATTAAATCTGTTGGATTTGGTGTCTAAGCTTATAACTATAATTGGGATGTGCTTGACCCAATTGTAGCATGGTCCTTTTTGGTTGTCTTCACCAGTGCAATTTGATAGGATGAACTTTTGAGAATAAGGTTATTTATTATTTATTAATATATTACAAGTATAATATATTAATATGAAATCATATTATTTAATTAGTATTGATCAAGAATTAATTTGGAATTAATTTTGTGATCAAAATAGACTACTTAAATATGTGGGGATTGATCGTGTAAATGAATGATTCTTATAGTATGGACTAATGATCCATGGTTATTTAGGATGGGCTAAACCAATGAGATAGTTCATGGATGGTCCATAGAGGTTTGACCCATGGAGCCTAAGTAATATGAAAGGTCATTAAGGTTTACAAGGTGTAACCCTAACATTTGCTACACTATAAAAGCACACCCCTAGAACCAAAATTGGTTACACCATCATTCTAAGAAGTTTGATATTGATTTTTTGTTAAGTAACTTATTCTCTCAATCCTCCTCTTGGATATTGGTGTTTATGAACCATTAGAGGCATCACACTTGAGGGGCTCAAGCTTTCAAAGGTCAAGAACTACAAGTCCTTCTAAGAGGTAAGTCATCTAACTAGTTGTATTGCTTAAATGTCAATTTGTATGCTAGTTAGGATGTATGCTTTGGAAAAATTGAAAATATGCATGTATAATTAGAGAAAACATAGATCCAAAGCATCTAGGGTTGCATGTGCACCATAGGAGTGTTATAGTGCTCAAAACCCAACAGTGGTATCAGAGCCTAGGATGGAAACTCTTGTTGAGCCAATTGATGAATTCGCACCTCTGAGGTGTTCCAGTAGAGTTAGTGTTCCACCTGAGTTATATGGTTTTCATATAACATCTGAATGTGATACATTTATTATTGATAGCACACTGGTAAATCTGGATGAACCTAATAACTACAAGGAAGCCATGGCAGGCCCCAAGTCTGCAAAATGGAAAGAGGCTATGGATAGCGAGACTCAATCTATGTATAACAATCAAGTTTGAAACTTGGTTGACAATGTATCGGGTCGTAAGACAGTCGGGTGCAAATGGATCTTCAAGAAGAAGACCGGTGTGGATGAGAAAGTACACACATATAAGGCGCGACTGGTTGCGAAGGGTTTTACTCAAACTCATGGAGTTGACTATGATGAGACCTTCTCACCAGTAGCGGAGATTAAATCTATAAGGGTTATGCTAGCCATAGCTACATTTCATGACTATGAAATATGGCAAATGGATGTCAAAATCGTTTTCCTTAATCGAAAGTTGGTTGAAGATGTTTACATGAGTCAGCCAGAGGGTTTTTTCAATGCAAAGTACCCTAATAGAGTTTGTAAGCTTGAGAAATCCATTTATGGATTAAAACAAGCATCTCGCAGATGAAATCTTTGTTTTGAGAAGAAAGTCAAAGAGTTTGGATTTTCGAGAAGCGAGGATGAGTCCTGTGTATATGTCAAAGCTAGTGGAAATATAGTGAGCTTTCTGGTATTGTATGTAGATGATATACTGCTCATAAGAAATGATATCCCAACCTTACAGGAGGTTAAGTCCTGGTTTGGGAAGTGTTTCGCTATGAAGGACCTTGGGGGAAGCTGCTTACATCCTAGGGATAAAGATATTGAGAAACATGAGTAAAAGACTAATAGGACTTAGTCAAAGTACCTACTTGGACAAGGTGTTGAAGCGTTTCAACATGGAGAACTCCAAGAAAGGTGACTTATCCATCCAAGGCAATACCAAACTAAGTAAGACTCAGAGTCCGAGTACAGAGGTTGAGATAGGAGAGATGAGTCAAATACCATATGTTTCCGAATTTGGCTCGATCATATATGATATGACTTGTATTCACCCTGATGTGGCCTTTGCTTTAATCATGGTCAACAGATATCAAGGGAATCCTAGTAAAGCTCATTGGACTACGGTTAAGAACATTCTTAAGTACCTGCGGAGGACTAAAGACTGGGTCCTTACCCTTGGTAGGAGTGATGATTTGAGAGTGACAGGGTATAGCGACGCCAACTTTCAAACCGATAGAGATAATTTTCGCTCTCAGTCGGGCTGGGTGTTTACCCTGAATGGAGGAGCAGTAACATGGAAAAGTTCCAAGAAGGAGACTGTACTTGATTCAACATGCGAATCAGGGTACATAGCAGCAAGAGAATCATTGAATGAGGCGATATGGTTGAAAAACTTCATCAGAGACCTTGGAATCATACCATCCATAAAGGAGCATGTGGAGATTTTCTACGATAATGAAGGGGCGGTTACCTTAACCAATGAACCGAGATATCATGGTATATCCAGTAATATCGACAGAAAGTAGCACTTCATAATACATCAAGTAGAAGAAGGACACCTCATGGTAAAGGGGATCTCGTCAGAGGACAACCCAATAGATCCCCTTACAAAGGGACTGACTATGGTTAAATACTTGCAGCATACAAGGGACATTGGGCTAATGGACGATATTAGTTTTAGTAGTTAGATAAATAGAAACTTGTAATAGCTAAATGATAATTGACATTTGATTATTAAGTTAAAGGAGTTTTATTTATAAGTAAAGTTATTGTCTTGTGTCAATTATTTACTATTTTTTCACTTTGCATGTTTTGACTTCCAAAATAATAAGATTATTCAAACCATCCACAACCAATCATACTTTGGAAGAAGGTAATGAGACTATATTCTCATGAGTTGGCTTGTAGATTGTGTAAGGCGTTAGACATAACAAAAGTTTGCTACACCATTCATGATTACTCCTAAAATAACATTTGAGTATTGGATTCAACCCACGCTCACCTGAATTACTCCATGGAATTTATCACAAGTAGTTGTGAGACGATAATATCATAGAATCTTCAAAACAAGATATATGAGTTGTTGACTATGAGTTGGTTGTGAATTGATGGCATGAAAACGCATCAGTAACTTGATGTTATAAAATGTGTCATTGTGCATGATTTGATGATTAGTTAGTACAAGCATATAATGTCAAAGTTTATATGTTCCTTTTATCCTAAGAGGATTAAAAGCGATATCTTGGGCCCCTCGATGATTCTGTTTTTACTATGTGACGGGCCCGATCAGAACTAAATTGATGTGTTCAGTTATGTTCTATGTTAGACAAATTGGAAATCGGGAAACAAATTGCAGGACAATAAGTATGACTATGTTCCATGTATTTTTGTGCATAGATATCTTGAGAACAGAGGAATATATGATCCCTTATCTGAAGGACGCATCACTAACTAGGTCAGAGTTTGACAGCGGCTTTTGAAAGCTACGATTGCTAAATCGGATCCTGAAGTCGCATTGGTAGCTATAGTTATTAGACTTATCTAAGTAAGATACGGTTGGATTTGGTGTCTAATCCCATAACTATAATTGGCATGTACTTGACCCAACTTTAGCATGGTCCTTTTGGGTTACCTTCACCAGTGTAATTTGATATGATGGACTTTTGATAATAAGGTTATTTATAGTTTATTAATATATTACAAGTATAATATATT